TGTTCTGCTTTTGGACCCGGTGATAATTTTTAAAGCCACTAGCTATTTTTCATGTTTGGAGGCATTTATAATTTTCCAAACTGCTTAGCACCGGGGTGCTCTCTGATTTTGAAGTACAATGCTTTCGATTCAGTGTGCTTTAGTCTACAAAATTAAGTATTATACTGTGTATAATTATTTTAGGTGATATTTGCAACCAAAACTGTCAAACGCTAATAAACAAATTTCAGTTTTCAGTGTGAAATTTCTCAAATAAGGAGTAGACTTGCACCCTTATTTGTATTGTGCTTACTACACATTCGAGCGTTGTTAATTTATGTAAATATCAATGGTATGTAACTTACCTTTTAAAAATTACTCTTTTTTAAAAACTGAAATTCTCAAGATTCGACACAAAAAACAAAATTTAATGGAACATTGAAAATAAGTGGAGGCTTGGAGTTATCATAGTTTTTCAAGGTATTTTAAACTAAGAAACCCACATTGCTTTAAAGCAATTAATAATAACAATTATATAATTACTGTTTTTATAAATAAGCATACTGGCCACCAAATATACAATTTTCAACATTACTTTAATACATAAAAATATATCTGCAAATGAAGGTAATGTAATCTTTAAACCAACTAAAATATATATTTGTTATAATTAATGAATTCTTGAGTTGCTATTCTCTGGGTTTAAATGCTTACCCTTTTCTTAAAAACTGAAAAGCTAATCCTATTAAAGAATTAAAAATGTAAAGTTGGAAATATTTAATTTTTTCTGCACGGTTCAAACTTCGTTTCCTAAAAATCAACTGTGTGTAGTTAACATTTACTTTCGTCAATATTGAACATAGAAATTTGTTGTTAATTTTCATTATTCTTGCATACATTTTTCGACAGATGAACCAGTTTTTGACAGTCATCTTGAAAAAGTGTGCCCTTCTCGTCCACCATTCATCCCAGACTTTGTTCGTTTGTGTGTGACTGCGATTGAGTCAAAGGAAGAAAATATGAAAACGGATGGATTGTACCGAGCGTCTGGCAATCTCTCTCATGTGCAGAAGATTCGTTTGCAGGTAAGAAAATTTGAGAAACAATTTGGAATAGTGTTTGTGTATTCATTAATATTTTCTAATCTACATTATAAGAAGGGAAAAAAATGTTTGGAGTATCGAAAATAAAATGTTGTAAATATGACTATATGTCTTATGTTGTAATGGACTCAATTTGTAAGTAGTTGGAAATAAACTCTTCTGTGTTGGCTCAGAAAGTAGACTCAGCAATAGTTGGAACAAAGCTGTCTCAATTACATTCATTCCTGAGTACAAGTTGCACATATCATTCTGAATATGTTTGAGTGCTTATAACTGTAGTGTAGTGATGGCTCGGGTTATGCAAAGTAGGCAGTGCTCACCCTAGGAAATATTTGCTTGTTTCATATGTTTCACATAAAAAGAAAATTAATTACTCTTAAAGTTTTAGTAATGTGTAAGTATCTTTCATCTGGAAATATAATATGAACATCATAATTTTGTTAATACATTTGTATCATGACACATGCCCCACACAATCCACCTCATTTCCTTGCTTCTTGCTTTGACTCGATCCTCTTTGAGTAGGTACGTGTGGTGGTTGCCATGATTTGTGCTGTATTTGTGAAGTATTTGTTATTTAATTTAATTTTTAAATGAGCAAGCTGCAGGTTATTTGTGTTTCTCAGAAAGAAAGAAAAAGTAAATAAATAAAAACTGTGAAGTAAATACAGAGAAAATACAAATCTTCAAATGATGCACAGGCCATACTAATAGCATTAAACATTAAAAAAATATTTTTGGGCAAATAGTTTTGGACAAAGCAACCCACATATTGCATTGTCAGTCCCCCTCTTTGTTTCTTTTCATAGTTAGTAATGTTGAAAAACCTTGTTCACATAGTTGAGAAAACAATATGGAAGTGTTAAGGTACTGGGAGAGGTGACTCAGTGCATCAACTAATGTTACTGCAGTGCCTCTGACTGGGAGGTCCTAGGTTTCAGTCCAGACAGTGGCATGAATTTCGACACTAGCTTGTCAGCTAGGTTGAATTCAGTTAGTCTGGAGAATTCTAGAGGTCGGATGGTCTAATCGGTAATTTTCTGTGGTTTCTCCAATCAACACTAGGCGAATGTCAGAGCAGTACCAAAACAAACCGGCCATGGACCACGCACAATCTTTCCTTCCTCTTCTTTGTCCTGCCTTCACTCCTTACACACACATACACTAACATGCACAATATTACCACCCTTGCCAGGAGACCAGTTGCGCACTTGGAGCTTGTGCCGGCTGAAGCAGTGTCCCACTGTTGGGAGATACCTGGTTGAGGGAAACCCTGCTAGCCGATGGTAGGTCAATGCCGGATTTCGCCATCCAGTGGGGGAAGATCACTACCACTTCCCGAAGAAAAAATATGCACTACATTTGGGACTAATGACCTCAGGTCGTTGACCTGCTGGGAATCGCTAACAAGCACCCAAGTGTAAGGTGGTTTGTTGTTTGTAGCTTACATCATTGCTTCAGAATTTTTTAAGAGTTAAGCCAGATTTTTTAAAATTACTTGTGTTTTGAAGTTCTATGAGCTTTCAGTTTTACTAGGAACATCTTTGACATTGATAATGAATTTTTTATCCATTCAGATTTTCTGTTAATCTCCTTAACATCATTCAAGTTGACTGTTGTATTCTCGGGGAAAAGTGAATTCTTGTAGCTTCTGTAAGTTGGATAGAAATTTGGCGGAGTACTTTATTTTTTTATTTTATTTTAGATCGCTGTGCAACTTCGTGGTCATAAGCGATGTTACACAGCTTAAGTACTTTCTTCATAGTTTTTACAAATAATACAAGTGTTTTGAGGGCAGAAGGAGAATAACAAAAGTTAGTCTGATGCAAATGTAGTGTTTTGGACAAATGTTATGAGAGCCTCAGTTGATAACTTTGTTGAAGCCGACAAGTGGAACTGTGACAAATTATGTCACAGTGCATAAACAGTATTTTACACTATGAGAAATTTGCTGTTCCTGAAAAGATTTTGCTCAGGAAATGAGGTGTAAATAGGCTGTCAGGGCAATGTGAACTCTCTAGTGCGTTTGAATAATGTAAATTGAAATGTTGTCCTGAAAAAGGTTTTGTATTCCTAGAGCCAGTGCTCTGCTGTTCTCTGTGAAAGTTTCAGCAGCTGCAAGAAAAGGTTTTCTCAAGAGACTTGATGATCGAAGTATCAGCATTGAAGATCATGTCACTGCAAAAAGGAGACAACTGCATACGTCATTCATGGTCTATGTACTGGACATGTGTGTCATGAAGCCGGTACAATTCATTCAAGAGAATTTAGTGACAGCGTTGCAAATGTTGCAAGTTTAACATTAAAGGTTTGACCATCAACATAAACAAGTGAAAAGAGTCCTGAAGCTGCTGAACACTAATGTGGATGGAGGCAAGGAGGAAATTTACAATGGAAACAAATAAATCAACCGATGATAACTGGTGAACAAATCCACACCAATGTCAACGGACTCAGTCAACTGAATCTATTGAAACAGCATACTACATGTCTTAAAGATGATTTTAGCAGGTATCATCAAGTTTGGGTTTTGGAGCAGTTTGTGTGTGAAGCCAAGAGGAATGGATTTAATGCCAAGCAGCTGAGGTGTGATGAGGGAAAAGAATTGGACTAGAGAATTTCTCAACTGCTAACAAGCTGTGGCATTGAACACTGTACTACAGCCCCATACACACCACAGCAAAATAGTGTTGCAGAATGTAAAAATCAAACCATTGTTGAGTGTGCACATTTTAGGTTGAATCCAAGCGAGTTGCCAAAAGGTCTGTGAGCAGAAGCAGACAATAGTGCCTTGTACATCGTGAATCATACTGGAAAGTCTTCCATAGAAAAGTCTCCCTATGACTTGTAACAAGTGTCAGTTATCTAAAGATGTTTAGAACAGAATGTTATGTACATATCAACAAGAATCTCAATGTTTGACAACAATGCTGTTCATGGACATCTGGTTGGATACATGAAAGACAGAGACAGATTCAGGATCTGGATTGTGACTCGAAGCAGGATTGTTTTGAGTCAAGATGTTAAATTCACACCTGAAATTGTCTGCAATGTGCCCATCAATGCTGAAGTTTGAATTTTCATGTGAAGAACTTGCATTATCTGAAGCTAAAAGAAGTCAGTGATGATAAAAGGGAAGAAAAACGGAGTGATGCTGAAGAATTTGCTTCAGTGATGTTGGATTCTTTAGAAGTAAATGATACCTGTGTGATGGTTGATTGTCCGAAAGATGTTCAAGTTTTGAAGAATAGTGTGTGTTCTGCCAGAAGAATTTGGATAGAAGAAAAATCCACTTCAAGACTCAATTTGTATAAAGCTTTCGTATGAAGGCAATTGACTGCAAAGAGACATTTGTACAGAGCATGATATGGAACCATTTGGATTACGATAGAGGTACATTTAGAATGAAGCTTGCTAAGTTTGATATGAAAACTGCTTTCCTGAATGGCGTGCTTGAAGATGATGTGTACGTGGAATAGGAGGAAGGTTTTGAGAACACAGGTGTGTCACGTGAATAAAAGTTTGTGTGGCCTGAAATAGGTGCCGTGCTGATGGAACAAATGTTTTAAGAAGTTTATGAGGAGGGCTGGAATTAAAAACAATGCTGATTCATGTTAATTCTACCACAAGAGAAACGAGAAATATGTTTGTTGTAATTTTTGTGGAAAATGGTGTGGCTGTTGCCATCGATATATAGAACAACTCTAGGGATTCATAGAAATGCTGGAATTTCATACAACTAGAGGATATCTTAAAAACTGCTTGGGTATTGGAGTATAGCAGAATGAAAATGGCAGAGTCAAACAGGATTTCTACTCCAATTGGGTGCAAAGACAACATTGGAGTAGAAAAGGTTACAGCCATGGTTCCTTATCGTGAGGTTGGGAGTTCTTTGATGTACCTGACTACAGCTACATGTCTTGATGATGTCTTTGTTGTTTCTTAAACAGCTTAGGCCGTGGAAAATCCTACAGTAGCTGAGATAATAGCTGCAAGTGAAGGAGCAAAGGAGTTAATCTGAAAATATTACTGTCTGAATTGTTGAAAACACTTGAAAAATCTCCTACTCTCTACATTGTCATCAGCAGTAAAAGTGGCTAAAAATCCAGAATATCATCGCAGATCAAAGCAATCAAGGTTTGCCACTTTGCCACAAGGGAAAGAATTTTTGGATGGAGATCTGGAACTGGAGCATGTTGACAGGACCAACCAGCCAGCTGATCTACTGACTAAACCTCTGGAAAGGTGTTAAATATAGTCTCTTTTGTTTATGTTTGTCCATTTAATTTTTTTTTATCGTTTGGAGTAAGTGAAGATCTTTTAGAGCATGTTAAGAAATATGCAGACAAGTAATGCCATCTGGCAGAGAGTCTTTGTACAAAACAGGTTTGGAAAGGGTTGGGTTATAAAGTTGTCAGTGTGCGTCTGAATTTTTGTTGTTGTTAAATACGTCTCTGATGTTCTTTTGCATTGTTATTCCATTTTGAGTAATAAATAAAGTTTTAACAAGTAAATTAGCAATCCTGAGTTGTACAATATGATATTACGTTTTGTTTGGCATATTACCAAACACTCTGAAGTTACTTATTTATGTGGTCAAATTATCAGTATGAAAGAGTAATATTTCCCAAATTTAAAATACTAGATATTTGATTAAGAAGATTTGCAATATTAGTGAAACTGGATACATTTGTGCAATATTCCATATTTTGCAATGACAAATTGGTTTATTAATCAGAGAGCATTGTTTTTGTGCCTTATTTGCATAAATTATTTTGCTTTGTTTGTACTGATTATTTTCATAAGTTTCCAATTAAATTAATGCAATTATGATTTTGTCCCCTAGTTCAATATAATTGTCTGCACTTAGCATATTTACAAAAACGTTTATTTATATATTTCTTTCAAAATATGCAATTACGCTTCAAATTTATCATGAGACATTCTAAAGTTATAAAATAATTTTTCCTCTTCCAACAGGTCAGGAAATAATATGTGAAATTCCCCTTTTATCGTTCTCATTCTGTTTATATGATTAACCTAGAAACAGGGCTTTCTTTGTCTCCTTGCGTCATTTTTTTTTCATGTGCTATTAAAAATGAACACAAAGTGATTGCTTAACATAATGAAGCTCACTTAATGAAGTCATCGTGCACAATACAGGACACGCCGCAAGGAATAAAATTGAATTTGAAACTGTGAAGTGTCCATTCTGTCTCAGCTTAGTGCAAGTAACCCTCATAAAAACACCTGATCATCTCGTCCCGTCCCGTCCTGTCCCGTCCCATATCGAACGCGTGTGTGACGGACACACACGCACGCACACATTCACGTTACTTGTACTACATATTTATTAAGGATCGTTCTTTATATTAAAAGAGCACAATGTTTTTGCTTTTGTTCAATCAATGTTTGTAAGAGTATTATTTTTACACCAACCTTGACAGATTGAATGTTGTGTAGTATTTACATTGTTTTTATTTATGCACTTTGAATCTTGCATACTTTTGAAATTGTAGGTTGACCAGAATAATCTTTGTGTGCTGGAAGCAGAGGAGGATGTGCATGTCCTCACTGGTGCTCTAAAATTATTCTTCAGAGAACTGAAGGAGCCTCTTATTCCCTATGAACTGTTTAATGAGGCTATTGATGCAGGAGGAAGTATGTAATTATAATTTTAGTTTCTTTTAGAATAATATTTGATACCTGATGAAGTTTCACAAGCTTTTTGAGATTTCTCTCATTGTATTGTAATGCTAAGCTGAATGTGATGTAATTAACAACCAGCATTGTAACCAATGAAAAATACATTTAATTCATTGCAGGGGGGATATTTATTGAGTCACACATACAATTACAATCGTGTATGACGAGTCAATATGATGTCTTGGATGGAGAGAGCGAAGTTACATTATTGTTCAGGAGCAAACAAGGGGCCATCTCAGCATTTGCACAAAGGACCAGGGAAGGCTCAGGGAACAGCCTAGAAATTATACTACAGTACTTGTTACAGATAGATTAGGATATTATACAGTAGATAATTATTTTTAGTAGCAGATAATTTAACATTTCAAGATGTTATTCTAATGCTACTACTTATTATAATAATAATGATTACATTAGTAGTATTAGAACAATACCTATCAATTCTGTTAGCAACTACATAAAAATTAACAATATTATTACATTCTATTTTTAAAACTTGAAATGGTGTGAGGCAAGTTTTGACTGCAGCACCTAATGCATCTAGCGAATCCAGAGAGAAACAGAATTGTTTTTTGTCAGGCATTCTCCTTCTACGTCACAGGATGTGATATGCTAGTTCTTTTTTCTTTACTTCAGCTCAAAACAGTTAACATGAAATTACAACATTTCCCTAAAAAAAAATGTAAAGAAATAATAATTTCTTATCCCATTAGACTTTCTGTTTCACTGTAGAACATGTTGTTAAGCAGGAAAGCTTTCAATTTTAAATGTATGAATTGTGTTTATGTCTTTAATATCATTGCCTAGTTTGTTGAATTCTTGCCGTCTATTAAAGTACTTTTTTGATAAAGTGTAGTTTCAGTGTGGGGAACATGTATGTTATCCTTTTGACGGATGTTGTAGTTGTGTACATCAGAATTTAAAGTAAATGTGTCTTTGATTTCCATGAGAATTTTCTTTGTGAAGACTACTATTTCAAATATATACATGCATGGTAGAGGAAGAATCCTTAGTTTATTAAACATGATACTTTTATTGTAGGTTTATAACATGTGTATTCTAGTCTCCATAATTCCATTAATACATTATACTTACTTTTTTACAATTTAATTTCAAAATTTTATGTTTATTAAAATATTTTAATTTCCATCTTATTTAATTTTCAGTGAATGGTAGTAAGAAAGACAAGGTAAAGTTGTTCCGGGACATTGTGAAGAAATTGCCGCCTCAAAATCACGACACATTGAAATTCCTTTTGCAGCACTTGAGAAGGTAAATTCTAGTTGGAAGATGCTGGATGAAGAAACTAACTGTGCTACAAGAGCACATTCTTTATTGTGTTATTTATAACTTTTGCAGTTTTCGTTCATTAAGAAATGAAATTTCAGAAATTGAAAATTGCATTAATCTAATCTACTGAAGTATTTTCAAATTTCCAATAATAAATACATGCAAATTTAACAGTGCAACCATGACCGAAAAATTCAAGTAATTAGGAGGGAATAACTTGTTTCAGAGATTAAATTTTGTAAGTGCTATATGAAGAACTCTAATCATCTTAAATGATTTTTTTCTTTTTCAGAGTCACCAAGTACGAAGAATTCAACCGCATGCATGTGCCTAACCTTGCTATAGTATTTGGACCAACATTAATGTGGAGAGAGAAAGAATACCATCAAAATATGGCTATTGAATACATGCAACAAAATCTAGTGATTGAATTTTTCCTGCAGCAATTTGATGAAATATTTAGGTGATTCATACTTGTACATAAAAAAATGCTTCCTGTTTGAAATATTGGGAATTGAATGAGAATTTTCAAGGCCTTGTCATCTGTTGATTGTCATGTTTGGCAAATATTATGTTAAGAATCTCATATTGGTTCTTGAAAATGCTTGTATATGTTTTTGTTTGACTGAAGAAAATTCATTCATGTTTTGTGTTTATGGTTCATTGAATTGTATTTTGATGCCTCCTCAGCCAAAATAAGGATTGATAAAGTAATGGTATTTCAAACAGAAAATTGAATATTTTGTTTGAAAGAACATAAAGAATCTGCATACATACATTCCATGTATTATTCTCGTATTCCAAAATGTGCAGCGAGAGTTGAGGTAGTGCCTGACAAAAAGTACATGTCATATGACTATGAGTGCTTATCAAAACATAATTATTTAAAATTTAAATTATTAGATCTTCACGTGAAAATTTTTTAATTCTTTCTAGTATTCAAAGAACACATTTTAATGTAAATTTTCTGTTTAGTGAATGGACATGTGAACTTTATATGAATGGTGCTGCCTCACCTACTACAGTAATTAATGAATTGAAAATCAATTTTAATAGCATAGAGAAGTTGGTTTTGGGGTCTTGTATTCTTAGTTTTTTCTCCAGTTACAAAGACTATATGTGTTCCAGACTACTTTACCAAATGTTACAATGCCTGAAAGAAATGTTTTACCAGCAAAAAAATAAAGATTTTCTTTATTCCTGTTCATAATTATTGTGTATAATTTTCAAAAGAAGTAAAGAGATGGTGTAGGTTTCAATGCTCTTCAGGAAACCAATGACATCAGTATCATCTATTTGGCTCTGTCCTTTGTGCATGATAAATGAAAATATGTAACATAAAATGTATATTGAAAAGTGTTATTGCGTGCTCTAAGAGCCTATGTTATATAAATATGTGTACATTTTCTTGTTAATTTTGTTTTGTGAAATGCATACAGATTTGCTGTACTGTATTTCTTTGCATCTTGTCCATGAAATAAAGTATATAATGTTGCATTATAATTACTGTTAAAATATTACCCTCTCAATACCACATTGAATTGTAAGAGAAGTTTGAGAAGTCGGGTAAATATTTGTGGAATCATGCAATGTGTTAATTGATAATGTCATTGGAAGTGTAAATATTGTTGTTAAAATAGAAGTTTCAAGTCAATCTTTTGATAAGTCCTTTGGAGTTGTTGTTGTTGTTTTTGTGTGTGTTTTTGTGTTTGTGTTTTTTTGTGTTTGTGTTTTTTTGTGTTTGTGTGTTTTTGTGTTTTTGTTTGTGTGTGTTTGTGTGTGTGTGTGTTTGTTTGTGTGTTTGTTTGTTTGTTTGTTTGTTTTTACGTGGGCAGGGGAAAATTGTCTAAAGACACAGCGGGGCCCACAACCCGCAGCGTGTGGTAGGTGCCTTATCGCCCTTCGGAAGAAGGACTAGCTGTTGCTGCTTCCATCGACGGGGGAAATTCCCCTCTCGTATGCATGCATTATATGCGTGCAAGAATAGATCGGGCCGAGTCTTAATAGCGGTCTTAATTGCTACATTTGGTACCCCATCTAATCCGGGGGCTTTGCAATCTTGGACCTTGCCGCAAGCTCTGAAAAGTTCATCCAACGTGTCTGCCGGAACCTCGCTTAGATCTTCCAGACAATCCTTCGGTTGTAACATATCTACCTGGCGAGGAAACAAGGTAGCTACAACTTTTCCCAAGAAAACCGGGCAAGTGGGTGGTCGCCTGAACATACCCCTGAGTCTGGCCGTCACCAGCTTATACGGGCGTCCCCAGGGGTTGTGTGTGTGTGTCTGTGTGTGTGTTTTTAACTTGATTGGCCACATTGGACCACTTGAGTCGTTCCACTTCACTTTGGTCGACTGTCGAAGGTTTGTCACCTTGAGGTGAGGATAAATCCTCGAGTTACAATTCTGAATGTTATTCAGAAAGGTGATAATGACAGATGGAGGATGATGTTATGAATCTAGGGGGTGAAAGGACAAACACAATACAACCATGTCCGAGGCGGGACTCAAGCCCGCGATCTTTCGGTACGAGATCGCTACGGCACTACTGCCTTAGCGATCTCGGCCGCCGGATCGGCTTTGAGTTGTTTATAATACTAGTATCCAAAGATATGGAGAACATTGAGTTTCATACTGTGATTAAGCATTTTTATTTAAAGAGTTGAATTGCTGCACTGATCAAAGCAGGAATGAATAATATTAATAACAACTTTGCTCTAACACTGAAGACTGGCTATTCTGACGGCCTGAAAAAAGTCACTACAAAGTACAGCATTTAAAAGATGTCATACAAAACTGGAACAAAAAAAAGGGTTGTGTTCAGTGGGTACAGCAATTGTTAACTGTGGTGTCACAGTTCCTCTATCCTCATTTCCAGGATCCAACATGGTCTTTTAATTCAGATCTCAATATTACATACTTGCCTTATCTTCACTCCCAGTGCCTGGCAGAGAGTCTTGGGTCATGCTTACCCTGATGTTACATAAACAAGGGTCATGTGGTTAATTATAAACATTATTAGCTTTTCTTACGAATATATTATTCTTCAGCAACATGATACCAGGTGATAACTATTCCAATTTCAAACGATTATTTTCTCAAAAACGGCTTCAATTGTTTTATTTTCTTTTTTCCTTGGATATAGCAAAATTCATTTAAAAAGGAGGTAAGTCTTGTAATAAGCAAATTGTCAATATTTTCGAAAATTGCGAACAACTCACATTGTAAAAATTCAATATTGGTAGATATTTTTTCCCCAGAGATATCCATTCTAAATGTTTATGTCATATGTGTTTTTAAACTAGTGGTTTTTGCATATTTTTTGTTTGAAATTCGTTTATTGTTAACAATTCTGAAAAATGGCAGTCCTTCTTTTCTTTACTTTTTTATCCTTCGAAAGAGCACTTTTTAATTTTATCGGAATTGGGGATATTTTTTCCAAGAGTATTCCTGTATACATCTTGCATTTAATACTTTTCAATTTGTTGTATTGCGTCATCTGCCCGACAAATGTACATTATCTGTTGCCGTAATTCCCTGCAATACGTACGAAATTTGCAATCTAGGAGCACTAGTCGTCTCGCCCCTCCTGGTCTCGGAACCTCCTCTGCCAGCAGAGCGTCTCCGTGTTTGCGTCCCTGCGTCCTTACCCAGCGGCCACAATGGAAAGGAATTAGGAGGGAGGGCTTGGGACTTGCGACGTCGCTCTGAGCTGTAATGGTAAATGCACCTACGTACACATGAAGTATTGCGTTAGAGAAGCAATGAATATTTCTTTAAAACATGTACGTGAGAGAAATATCACCTTTCAAAGATATCTAAATTAGGGGCGCGTCTGGAGCAGGCGCCCTGCTTATCTTAAGGTCATGGGTGGTAGGGCTCCCCAAACCGCCGTCAACGCTAACACGATCCAGACAGTGGAAACGGGGATGTTTGGGAACTTATGAGACAGAGTTTTCAAAAGGGCAAATGTCCTCTGACAGTAATGTCAGTTTATTGCGTCCAGGACATGTCGAGTTCTGGAGGGGGTGGCGTAATGCCTCATAAATCTCCGTATTTTCCCATATAAGGATCCTCTAGCGTTGATAACGGGCACACAGCCCAGAGACTGCTGTGTCAACTTCACGCTGCTCTGCAGCTCTGCTTTTCAATTAAACTTTTCATACTTCATCGGACTTGGTCTCTGTACTCGAAACCTCGCTCACCACCACGCTCCTCCAGGGAACTTATCTTCCCTGCGAACTCAACATTTTTGCATCGTGTACTGGAAGCATTTGTAATTGCCTGCAATCGCTGCTAGTAGCACAACACTTGCAGTGAAAGGCATTGCAGAGCCACAAAGTCAGCCTTTGGAACAGGTGCTTTCAAATTCAAATAGACTGCCTCCAGTACCCTTTGTTTATGTGCAATTTTATAAGTAAAAAGTTTCAAAACTTCATTCAATGCAAAATGAAGATTTCAAACAGTTCAAATTCCACAGAGAATAGAAATGAAACAGGCTTCTATGTGCGGGTCCATGTTGTATGTTGACTTTCATAAAAAAAGTGCAGAAGTAGTTTTTCCGAAAAAAGTTTTCTTCGAGGTAATTGAGTTCAAATGCTACTTCCGGGCGCAAAATTCAAACCGGCTGCCCCGTCACTGCAGACACCGCGGCGTCTGCCAATGGCGCTTGGCGTTTCGTACGCATTTCCGGTATACCTGTCGAGTGAGGTTGCCGCACACTAGACTGTTTCCGAAACGACTTCTTATTAAATTCTCAAAATAATGGGTGAACTAAAAAAATATATATTCGACCGGTTTTTGGATGAATTTCCGGATTCTTTTTTAAAATTGATGTGCCTGTCGTTATAAATCCGTTAACTCACATATTCACATCGTTTGCAGGATTTTTTCCGGAATTTTTCCATTTCCACTCATTTCCAGTTCTCGCTAACTTTCCCAGATATTTTTAAAACAGCTAAGGCAGGTAAAGGTGTCTCAGGGCATCAACTGATGTCACAGTAGTCCCTCTATCCGGGAAATTGTAGGTTTGAGTCTCGAAGGTAAAATAATTTTCGACATTAGATAGCTAGGTCGCATTCAGTCGCGGTGTGGTGGAGAATTCTAAAGGCCCGCTGCTCTGATCGGTAATTTTTCGTGGTATCTCCGATGCCACTACCAGGCCAATGCCGGAGTAGTACCCTAACAAACGGGAGACGGACTACACCCCATCTTTTCTTCATCTTCCTTACCCTATCCTCTCCCCATACTTGCCCACACGTCTACTTACAAGCACCACTCAACCAAGCATGCCGAGGGGCCGGTCGGCAATTTAGAACTGATCCCGGCTGGGCCTTGCGCCGCTGGTGGGGCAAACCCTTTCGCTCACAGGCTGGTCGGCGCCGGCCCTCATCATCCATGCAATACACTTACGGGACCTTAGCAGTTGAAGCACCAATCATAAAAGAGCAAAGATTAATCTGCTCTTCCAAAAACACAACAAAAATGAAATTCAAAATTATAAGACAATTATACTTTCAGCTTTTTCAAAACGTTAAGAGTTTTTTTACGTATGAATTGAACCTTTCTCAGTAAACACGAAGCGTTTTCAGATTGCCAATATAGATTAAAAAAATCATAATCTACAGAAACAGCCATATTTTCTTTTTTTTAAAGATGTCGCTTGCATGCAACAAAATGAAGCATCTAGTGGAATCTCTCGAAAGCTTTTGAGGTCATAAGTATATTAGCTTTGCAAATCTTACCAAAAGTTCCAGCTTTTAATTTATAACATGCTCATATCGTGGCTCTCACATATTGTGGCTCTCTTATTTAGTTAGAATTCATTTTATATTAATTCTGAAAATTTTAACGGACCAAAATCAATCGTGAACGGTCGAGTAGGGCGACTGCCGCCCATGTCGCGTCGCTCCCTCTCTGCCTCAGTCGAATAACGCTCAAACGAAGACTCAGTCGATGAGACGCGCTCGCAGCGGCGCGAAGCTGGCCACCGCTCTGGCACGCAACAACTCGTCAATTGTGCCAATTCGCCGTAATAACTCGTAAAATGCGTATGAAAGGTATTCATTTAACTTGTGTATAGTGTAATGTGCATTTACAATAAACCCGTTGTCAATGAGTTGCAAAAATGACTGTGTTAGAACTATTCTTATGTTGTGTTGCGCAATTTGTTGAGGCTCTATTGTTT